GGGGGGGGGGGGGGGGGGGGTTGCTCAGGCGCACAATCATATTTAGGATAATATTCTCTCTCCCCTACATATAAATGTTCTTAAGGAACACCATGTGTTACCATTCAACAAACAATACTATTTTGAACCAGCAGTTCTCAGACCTTGGGAAAATGTAGTTGCCAGCAAAATTCCACACAATAATTAAAACTTACATTTGTAAGCTCAAAGTATGGCCTCAAAGCCTTCTCCATGCCTTTCTGCATAAAAACAGTCCTTTCAGGGATCTCTCCTAGCAGTAGGCGCACTATTACAGCCCACTTATTGCATTGAATCCGGAACCCAAGAGCTGCAACAGGGGCTTTCCGAGCAGCTTGGAGGAGAGACTCTTTTGCATCCGTATACTCCAACTGAATTGTCCTAATCTTTCCCAGGTAAAAGAGGTAGCGGCAGAACTGAAAGAACCAAAAAAGCAAGGTCAGAACAAGCAGAATATGGAGACAAAACATTTTATTCAAAGATGAGGCGTGGACATAAAACCGGTGAGAACCACACCCTAAAATAATATACTGATAATAAATTAGGAAACCAGAACATAAAAGATTGAATAGCAAATTAGTACGGGACTCTTAATGAGTGTCACTCTCAAATTCTCGTACTGTTAAAGCTGAAAGGATGAGGAAAAGGGGAGGGGCAATCGCAGGCGTACATATCTTCATTGTTTACTCCTCATTCATCAAAAGAATTTGCAGATTCATACAGCCAGCCAACTTTGAGATTTATTAGCAATTGAGCATTTATAACAAATACCCCAATAAATTTGGCCAGTCTGATAACCAGCATATGTTAAAAGGCTTCTCTAAGTTAAAGTTGTCATTCATAAAGTTTCTTCACCAATTTTCCTATTAATACCCTTTAGCAATTGGAAAATCAAGCTTTTACAGCTAACCTTTTAATCTTTACTTATCTAACATCAATCCATAGATTTCTTATCCAATCCCATAGGATTTTACACATGCACAAAATTGATCCTGAGGTCCTGCCATGAATGATGGATCCCTATCAGAATGTCCAAAATCCAAATCTCACAACCTTGCATCAAACAGGTAATTTAAATAAACTATGAGATCAGTAGATCACTGATCTTTATTTTCCAACATAACTGGGGAAAAAAATGAAAAAAGAAAGTCGTGCAGAATAATAAATGCCAGATCCAAGACAGTTGTACATGCACTAATGCAACCAATCATCCCATGAAAGCCTACAACAGGTCCATACAAAGTGATGCATAAAAAAAACTAATAAATACATTTAGAATCACCTGTTGATTTGAGTGAGCTTCAAAACGAGGTGCCTTTGACCTCAGCTTCTCTGCTTGATCATATAAGTTGTAATGGAGGTAATTCCGAAGTAGCAGGTTGAGAAGTGTTTCCTACATATGGCATATACCAATTATGAGACACCAGTTCCCTGACATCAACTAATTGCTAATTCAGTTGGACAAATACCTGCCCCAACTCATCATGGCGCAAGGTTGCAATCCGGTGTAATGCAAGAAGGTTACTGAAAAAAGAGAGTTTGATTAGACAAAGAGCCAAAAAAAAATACAAGGAAACTAGATAAGAAATAAAGAAGTCTGACAAAGAATGAAGGTCAAGAAACTAAAAAATAAATGTATCCAACTCTAAACTCTAAATTGTTACTTCTTCCGAGGTTCTCTCATCAATTATATGCATGCTGCATGCTAGACCATTCAAAATCCTCATATATTGTTGCCAGTAAAAACTATGACCTGGTAGTGCTATAAAACTCACCCCCGGATCTCAGCAAGATCACCAGTAACTTCATAGCTAAGGGAGTAATAGAAATAGAGCCTGGATGCTAGAACGTCAACGGTTCTCCTATTCAGATTCTTCAGACGGGCAATGCTGACTGAGGAACAAGCTTTAGCCTGAAGACAACAAAAGCATGCACTAGCATATATAGGCATTAAAAGCTTAAATAAGACTATGCAATTCAATTTGAGGGATGTAATCAGAAGTCATTATACCTCACTGTATCTCTTCTGATCAATTAAAAATATCAGCACAAGCAAATAGCAATAAATCTCTAGCTCTGGCAAAGCGTGTTTCACAGGCGCTTGAGTTGCAGATGATGCAGTATCAACTTCCATATCATGCTCATCTTCCTGTAAAGGATGTTAGATGCTTGTAAAACTAGGGTTATCATATCATGCTAATCTGGACTCATACCAACCTGATGGACTTATCAAATGCAAAACCTAGTCTAACGAAATAGAAAAGAAGAATAACATCTAAGAGACCAATATGACTAAATCCATGACACTATGCAGTCATGCCATAATACTAGTTCTTTTTCAGTTTGTTCTCCTCCACTACATCAACATTCAAAGTTGTTGCCTTTCATTCATAGCTTTCATTTAAAAAAAAATAAGTTTTCCAGTTTTATGTCACTTGTCTGTCTCATAGTCCAGGAGATCATTACCAAAATCTTATGGTTTTCTTTACCATTTATTATCTGTCCATAAGTTGACCATTGTAGTAAGTCTTTAGCCAAAAATTTAACATATGTGAAACAAAATTAAATGAATCTCTGGTAACAACTCCAATACAATGTTCATCAAGTTCAAAATCATCTTCTTCTTCTTCTTTTGATAAGAAAAAAAATGTCATCCACTTTATCATATAATTAGGCAGTACTTTTCTTTCATCCTTTGGCTTTCTCATATTGAGAAATTCAATCTACGGCCATTCTATTTGTAGTTTCCTGACCGCTATGTTCTTCGTGTGCTTATAATTAGCAGTTTCCACTACCATTCCTCCATTGCCAGCCCATTCATTTCATCATTCTTCAATTATTCAAGAAAAACTAGTTGCAACAGTTCAAAATATCCCAAGTGTCATGCACATCCTTAAATATTTGATCTATATTATCATAGTTTACATTGCCAATCAGCGTCCGGTGCGGTAGTGGACCGTCTTCACAGCATCTGAGCCCATAAGAGCTCACTGTTCCACATGCAACAGAATCAAAGTACTAATTCCAATTCCTTTTAGGATCACAAAAACTGCTCAAACCTAGTCTGTAAAACCTTTTGGGTAAAAAGGATTCATACCATGCAGAACAGACACAGCTAGACCGACAGTTAAGTTTCAACCACTATAAGATCATGCCACGTGCTTTGACAATTCTCAAGGCACTCTGACATTGTGTAGGAAAGAATAACAAGCACACAATCATGTCTCAAGAGGAAAATATACTGCTAGTAGTATTCAAATTTTCCATATAAGCACAACTGAAGCCTAAAGAAGATTAAAGGAGAAGATTCTTAATGGTCTTTTCATAAGATGTACGTCTACAAATGTCAATGTAAATTGCCGTATCCTACACAATCAACAAGACTGTTATTTTGGACAGAGAAATCACAACGTTGACAATATCACCCAAAAGTGACCAAATTCAAACAGCTTATAGAAGCTACCTTGGGAAGATACGACCATAATCGACTGTGCAACTCCGATCCAGGTACGAGGACAAAGTTCAGGAATGCAGAAACCACAGAGGCGTTCAACTTCTGCCTCAGTGCAATGGTCAGCCGCACAGCGCGCACAATCCGACGCACCTCACGAGCATACGCACCAGTCTCAATTAGCGATGCAATTTCCTTCAAATCTAAAATCCCCATATTTCCATTTAATAGCAAAAATTAAATAGAACTAAAAAAACTGAAGCATTATACATATATGTAAATTGCGTCTTACGCTGCAAAGTGGAGGGACCAGTGGATGTAACAGAGTTTGAAGGAGGAGGAGCCTGTTCTTTCATCTCAACGTCTTGAGTCATATTGCTGAAAACCAGAGAAATGCACAAAAATATCACTACAAAAGCAAAAACTGAACATATTGAGAACACCATAACCCGAATTTACGGTACAAAAGATAATTGAAATTCTGGGATCAAATTTACATTGAATTCTCAGGAAACGAGGCAATCGAAATCGATTTGAGCTGGAAAACTAGGGTTTCGATTTCTTTCTTTCACTACAAGTCACGAACAGTGATTTTTTTTCACAGATATGTAAAGATACAGAATTCAAAGAAAAGGAGTTGTGAATCGAACCTTAGATTCGTTGATTGCGAAATGACAAACCCTAGAATTATAGTGGGGGCTTTGGGTTGGTTCGTCGTTTTGGGTTCTTTTTCCAACTGAGCACCAAAAAAGCCTCCGCTAAATAGTACCTGGTTTGGACTAACTGGCCCAGTTCTAAAAGAGTAAAGAGTAAAGAAAGAAAGAAAGAAGCAGAATAGACGAACGTATTAAATAAATAGGTAATTGTTTTTTCAATTTTAAAAACTATGAATATTTTATAAACTCTTTGCCTTTCTATTTAAGATAGACATGGCAACTAATTCAAGTGTACATCACTAACTACATTGTAGATGAAATATTTTATGAGGTTGGGATTTAAGCTATCATTTTAAATAGTGTAGACTTTACCCTAAACAAACAATATTGTATAATATAGATATGTTGCATTACATTTGACAGTAGAGTTAATGATCCTCGTGACGAAAATGGNACTAACTACATTGTAGATGAAATATTTTATGAGGTTGGGATTTAAGCTATCATTTTATAACTCATTTTAAATAGTGTAGACTTTACCCTAAACAAACAATATTGTATAATATAGATATGTTGCGTTACATTTGACAGTGGAGTTAATGATCCTCGTGACGAAAATGGCAGACAATTGTAAACTCTTTGGGGCGTGCTAATTTGACGTAAAGGGATGACAACTTTGAAATAGAAATATATAATATGACAAGAATTTTCCTCCAAAATTTTCTTTGCCTAGGTAGAGAAGACTCTTCACACAATTAATATAGCCTAAGGGAATGGATTGTAGCGTGTCACGTTANAATTTGACGTAAAGGGATGACAACTTTGAAATAGAAATATATAATATGACAAGAATTATCCTCCAAAATTTTCATTGCCTAGGTAGAGAAGACTCTTCACACAATTAATATAGCCCAAGGGAATGGATTGTAGCGTGTCATGTTCATCCTACATTGCTTGGTGAAGTCCTTGCCAAGGACTTGATAAGTATGAGTTTTGGACAATAATGTTACACACCTTTTCTTTACTATGAGATGGTTTTAATAATGTTATAAACCTTTTCATGGTTGTTTTCTTAAAATTAGCAAGGTTCTTTCAATGTAATTAAGCTTGGGTACTCATAACTTCTTAATAAAGTCCATATAAAAGGGACACTTAGTATTTTTTTTTTGGGTAGGGCTATTATTTTGAAGTGTTTTAAGATATTTTGGTATATTTTGACTAATATTTTAAAAATAAATTTTTTATTTTTATTTTGTTTCTAAAATACTTTTGTACTGAAATAATACACTAAAATATTTTTTTGATCATTGCCTATATAGTAAGTTGAAATAAAATTGAATGAATTTAATTTTTAATTAGTGAATATAGACAGGGTGGATTTAGTAACTAACGGGGTGAGCATAAATGAAATAAATTTCGTAGTTTGAAGTAAGAGAATTAAAAGATGTGTGAAAAGAGATTTAAGAGGTGAGAATAGTGTCACCAATTTTCTTTTGGAATAGACTTTGGTATTCAATATGTTAATTGATGTCTTACTATATGTCTATAAAGCGAATTCAAATCCCGTACTTTTTATTCTATATTTCTTTTCGTAGCAAACCTTTCCTATTTGATGAGCCAGGTCCAAGGGCCTAACCCATATTATAAGCCCAACTTAAATTAATGATCAAATCCTAAGAGATCTAGCAAAGTCCAGCCCAAACGAGGCCCAAGTCAGACAAGCTCATTAGGGAGTTGCACCACCAAGGGAACATCCTGGAACCTATCCTACACGGCTTGGAGAGAGTCAACCTTTCCACATACCTTGACCAAGTCCTTTGGAGTGCATCATAATTTCATTACCGGTTGAGGAGAGGAGAGATCACCAAGGAGAGGAGAAGTCGCCAAGAGATTCAATTACTATTAAACGGCCCCAATTATGACCGTCATACTAGCTATCCAATTACTACGCACGAAACTAAAAATTGTAAGCTCCCCCAACACTTGGGGGGCATCTGAAAAAGAGTCAAGCTCATCTCCTCTCTCTCTTGTAATCCTTGTTCTCCCTACACCCATAAGTTAATAAAGTTTCCGGTGAACCTAGCCATTGAAAGTAGACGTAGGTCTTGTTGATCGAATCACTATAAATCTTGTTTCCTCTTTCTCTCTATTTATTTTATTGTATTTTATACTATTACTTGACTAGTGGTGTGCAAATTAATTTGTGCATCATCAGTTTGGCGCCGTCTGTGGGAATTACATAATTCTCACCTAACCATTTTCCTTTGCTCAATCAAAGTTAATCACCACAAGAACCATGAGTCAGCAAGAAGACAGTCTACGAGAGGAGGAGGTTGCTCCTCCACCTGTTAATCTTGTCCCAAATGCACAATAGATGTTGGTCACGATGCAGCAGCTCATAGCCCAAAATCAGCAGATCCTACAATTGATGCTCGGGCAACAAGGAGGAGCACAGCCTGGACCTCAAGTCAGGGGAGCTCCACTCCCTGGTCATCAAGGAGCATCTCACTCGGGCACTCCCTACCCNAGGAGCACAGCCTGGACCTCAAGCCAGGGGAGCTCCACTCCCTGGTCATCAAGGAGCATCTCACTCGGGCACTCCCTACCCAGGCGCCCCACCTTTGGGAGTTCCCTTGGGTGCCCTACACAGGGGGCCCCACCGTGAGGGACCTCCTCCTCCGGCACCTGTTCCTGCTCCCCATGGTGGAGACCCTCCTTTCTTAGAGGATGAGGGGGACAACCAAAACATGGAGCATAGGAGCCATGTCCATGATAATTTCAGAGGACCTCCTCCCAATCAGTGGGACGAAAAAATTAAGGAGGTTCAAAATCAGTTAGGTGATGTCTTCAACGCCATGAAGGCGCAAGGCCCCGTGACAGTGGATTACCTCATAAGTAGAACTGACACACCTTTCGAACCCGACGTGGCGAACTACCCACTCCCTCAAAAATTCAAGATGTCATCCGTTGAGATCTTTGACGGTACGAAAGATACTCTAGACCACCTTGAAACTTCTAAAACTTTGATGCAACTGCACAACGTCCCTGACGAAATCATATGCAAAGTATTCCCAACCACCTTTAAGGGGTCCGCTCGGCAATGGTTTGCCAAACTCTCCTCAGCCTCTATTGGCATATTTGCTAAACTGAGCAGGTCTTTTGTGTCACACTTCATTGGAGGGCGGTGCCACCAGAAGCCTGCCACCCACCTGCTCAGCATAAAGTAGGAACGAGACAAGAGCCTAAGGAGCTATCTCACTCATTTTAACGAGGAGGTCCTTCAGGTTGAGGAGTCTGATGATAAGGTCAGCATGGCCGCCTTCCTTGGAGGCCTTCGGTCGTCAAGCTTCCTTTTCTCGATGATGAACCGTCCACCAAAGAGCATGCCAGAACTACTAGCGAAGGCTAAAAAATATATGAATGCTGAGGACATTACAAGAGCCGGGAGAGGTGAGTTATCCAGAGTTGGGGAAAAAAGAAAGGAAAGAGACAGGGATGATAAAAAGGAGAATAATAACAAGCGCAATAGCAGGACGGAGAGGGTACCTGCCAAAGACCGACTCGGTCCTGCTCCCTAGAGAGATCGACATGCCTTCACTCCCCTCAATGCCGCTGTCGGGCACATCTTATTACAGATCCAGGATGGCCCCATAATAAAGTGGCCTAGGAGGATGAAGTCTCCCCCAAACCACAGGAACCCAAACAAGTATTGTAGCTTTCATCGCGACCATTGCCATGACAGCGATGATTGTTATGACCTCAAAAGGCAGATTGAGGAGCTCATCCAACGAAATCACCTACGCCAATATGTTGCCGGAAGAGGGCAGACGCCAACACCACCCCGTAATTAGGAAGACCAATAGCCCGTCGGGGAGATACACACCATCTCCAGAGGGTTAGTAGGGGGAGGAGAATCCATCTCTGCTATAAAGGCTCATACCAGGAGAGCTAGGCACCCCGAGGAATTGCGCCCATCCAAGACTCTCAAGCTTGGCAATAGTGAGGTATATCCTTTTCAGACAAGGATTTGGAAGGAATTCAGCACCCCCATGATGACCCTTTGGTGCTCTCCATGATCGTGGCCAACTTCCAGGTAAGAAGGATTCTCGTGGACAGTGATAGCTTAGCGGATATCTTGTTCACAGAGGCGTATGATAAGCTCAACTTAGGCAGGGAGAGGCGTAACCTATCAGGTCTCCCCTCATTGGATTTTCGGGAGAGAAAGTGTATCCCCTAGGGTCCATCACTTTACCTGTCACTGCTGGAGTAGCATCTCGAAGCTCCACGATCATGGTCAATTTCTTAGTGATAGGATGTTATTCAGCCTACAACATCATTTTAGGGCGACCTGCTCTCAACACCTTAAGAGTTGTGCCCTCCACCTACCATCTCCTTCTCTGTTTTCCCACCTTTAACGGAGTCGGAGAAATCCGNTGTGCCCTCCACCTACCATCTCCTTCTCTGTTTTCCCACCTTTAACGGAGTCGGAGAGGTCCAAGGGGACCAAGTAGCTGCGAGAGAATGCTACGTCTCCTCCATGAGGACAAGAAAGCCACAGGAAGCACTTCAAGTAGAGGTCCTCGACCCAAGTTATGACGCCACCATAGAAAGAGGAGAACCCATCAAGAAGCTTACCCCAATGGTCTTAAATAAGGAACATCTAGATAGAAGGGTGTACATCGGTTCTTCCCTTTCTAAAAATTTGGTCCATCAGTTAACAAACTTTCTGAGGCTCAACATGGACGTTTTTGTTTGGTCACATGTAGACCTCGAGGGCATTGACCCTGAGGTCGCCACACACCGCCTCAATGTCGACCCTTGCCACAAGCCGGTTCACCAAAAGTTAAGGGGTGCCTCCATTGAAAGGGCCCAAGCAATGGAAAAGGAGGTAGAAAAGTTAATAGAGAATGGGGCGGCTAGAGAAGTAGCCTATCCTAAGTGGGTCTCCAATGTGGTGATAGTAACTAAGGCTAATGGGAAGTGGCGCCTCTACGTCGACTTTACTGAGCTTAACAAGGCATGCCCAAAGGATAATTACCCACTACCACAAATAGACCTCCTCATTGACGCCATCGCAGGACATGAATTGCTCACTTTCCTGGATGCATATTCTGGGTATAACCAAATCAGCATACATCCCCCAGACCAGGAAAAGATATTATTCATCA